TTGTTTTATGCTATACTATATACAAACCAACTCAATCGCTACCTTTCTTTTGAATGAAAAATAGAAAATCCTGATGTGCCAGCTCTGTAAATTCTAATATATACTATTATGTTTGTCTTTGGGGAAAGCCAGTAACTAAACTGCATCTAGGAAGCTGTTTTATTGAAGGAATATGGGGACAGAAGACGGAGTTCTGCATCTTGTGCTAAGATTGTCAGCCTGGGAAAAAATCTGGTTGCCCAGTTAGCTTCAAAAGATAAAGGCATGTCTGATTGTGGAGGCTGCTGCCAAAACATCTACCAGCTGAGCTGGACAGCTTTGTCTTGCATTCTAGTTTAAAGTGCCTTTAAGCACTGTATGTAAACGTCATACATTGTACAGATTACTTGTCCCAGAAGTACTATTAGTAGGATTCAGAAGTCCCTCTGTACAGCTTCAGATGGGAGGGTACGCCTCTAATGTGAATTAGCTCAGAGTTAGGGTTAACAGCACAAACAGATTCAATTTAATGCCCTTGAAAACATCCAGATAAAATTTCTGCATGTTCAGATCTCAGAAATGTGAACAGTGAGTTTAGCTGTCATAGAAAAGATGATGGCTGAGAGCTGCATGAGAGGCATTAGGCATATTTGGAGTGGAAAATGGGGAGATAAAAGATGCACAGCTTGTCAGAAGAACTGGTGCTTTTGCATGCTTCTCTGGCAAGGTATCTGTGTACCTCTTAACAGTAGAGATGTTTGTTGTGATTTAATTTTGTATATTTGCTTCTGCATTGTGGTTTCTTTTCCTCTGCTTTTTGCTTCTATTCCTTTTCTTTCTTTCTTTCTTGCCTGCATGCATTCAGCATCATGTGTTTTTCTTCCCATCGTTGGTGATAGCAGACTGCTTAGAGCATTCATAGACTTAGACTGCATGCTGTTTTGTGCATTTGAGGAATGCCTCCTTGTATTAATGTGCATGCTGTAGATGTGGTTATCCTCTACCTGTTTAATTGTGTGTTCTAAACTTCAGGAAATTTAAAGAATAAAGTACTTTGATAGTTCCACTGGAAGTGGCAGCTACATGCATGTTTCTACATATGTTATATATCTGTATATTTAAATTAGAATTAAATATCTTTTTTTTTTTTTTTCCTCTTCAATTTATTGAAACAAATTGGTTTTCCTTTAGGAAGTGACCAGTTTGGGAGATGTCTTTGTGCTGCAGCACCGTGGATCCTTATACCACTTCTTTCCTTCCAATGTTTGTTTCAGCAGGAGGTGATGAGAGCTGAAGCCTATCTTGAAACAGACTTGAGCATGTGCTTTGTAGCTTTGGCTAGTCAACTGAGCATCTCTGGCAGCGTGGCCTTTCCTAATGTTGCAGATGCAAATGTGGTTGATTAAGCAAGCTTTCTCAGCTGCATCAGTCTGAGGTCAAATTAAAACAAATTCTGTGGAAGCTTTGTGGCTAAGATTTAGAGCTGTATTTCTTTTTCTCATTGACCCCTCCCTCCGCACATAAACATTATGCCATAATTCTGCTTTCTGTGAGAACTCTAGGCTCCAGTATTACCAGCCTATTAAAAGGCAGAGGCCTGATATAGTGCTGTTAGAGTGCAAAGGTTTTCTTCTAAATGAACTACTGTTGTCTTGGAACACTTTGCTTATTGCTCAGTACATGAATTAATTCCAAGCTGTAAAAGTTTCACAGCAAAAATGCTAAGACTTCTGATACTTACTTCACTCCTGTAATTCATGTTATAACATATATTGTCTAAACAGGGTGCACTACATGTACCTAATTGTAACATCCTTTTACCCCCAAATGTAAAGGAAAGACAACTGAAAGCAATCTTCAAAGCAGCCTAGGTAGAATGCAGTAAGAACATTCACAAGTATTCTCACCTGGGTTTTATTAGAGCTTAATGGTAATTAAGAAACCTTAAGTGCATGAAATTAAAAAAAAAAAAACACAAAAACAACAAAACACTCCCACAAAACCCACCTTAAATGTATATTTCAAAGTATATTTCAAAGAATCTCGTATTGCTCTGTGTGCTTTTCTTAGAGAGAAGCTGGAAGGGAGGAAATTCGTTTATGCCTTTAACATCTTTGTACAAATGAAGAAAGCATTGCAGGAACTAGAGCAACTGATCTTGTGTTCACATTGGTTTTTTTGTTTTCATATAGCCTGAGTAGCTGAATTACAAGAATGGAATTAAAAATCATTTTACTAAAATAGTTATGGTACACACGGGGCGAAATTAAATAAAATACAGATGCTGAGGAGCCATTTTCTAATAGCACACTATAACTGCCATGGAGGTTATACGTGTAGCAGCATACGAAGTCTGCATTCTGGGTAATTTAGATGACAAATATCTGGTATGTACCTTGAGTATTGTTTCTTAATTCAGGCTTCATGCTATTTTAACAACTAAGATTAATAAGATTGAAAGCATGGTAACATGCAATTTCAGTATTGGGAATATTTATTATGGGCAAAATTCAATTCTGTTTAGAAGATAAGTTCTTCAGTTTTGCTTGCCACTGTGTTAGTGACTGCAAATGGAACCTAAATGTGCAAATGCCTTTTGCCAAACTGACAGTAATGGACAATTTTGAAGAGATTGGTGCAGAAGAGAGTATGTTGCAGAGCTGTTAAATCATTCATTTGCAGCATCCATGCGACTCATTCATCTTCTGTTGTGCTAGTGATGCACTGCTGGGGAGTGCAAATCTACAGATCCCTGCTTCAGATTTTAGCCTGATTTGAGAACCATGGGCCTCCACAGAGATGGAGAACAAATTGTGATGCTTTATTTCCAAGACCCACTCATTGGTGCCTGATGCTAAGGTTCTACCACGTAACTTTTCGCACTCTTGCGTATCTTGTGCATCACAGAGGGTAATAGCCAGGTGTGTAAGTATGAAAGAGTATTTAACATCTAGGATCTTACATTTGGAGGGGTGGGAGCTTTTCATGAGTAATTTTGTTTGCCAAGGCATAGCAAGGTGGACCATAAGTATTTTCGATGTAAGAGATTAGATTTGTATATCTTAATACTTATATGGTTGTAATTGAGCTGAGGGCAGCTTAGGGAAAATAAGACTGGAAAGTTTTTTTTATGGAAAACCTGGGTAGGCAGGATTTATTATATATAAAGTGGAGTTTCTGAAGGTGTGTTTTTCTAAAGGAAAGGATGTTTCCATATGAACTTTGTCCTCCTGTGAAGACTCTGAATACCAAAAGAAGGGGAGTTTAATTGTTTGGCAAAATGAGGCTATATTTTTTAAGTACTCTTTATTTAGCTATCTTGTCATGATTCATAGCATCATTGTATTTCTCTCTGCTGTCTTCTTGCTACATCCTAGCTGGCACAAACTGTAAGTTTTCATTTAGTTTATATAGCAACTGATCCATGATGATAATTTGTTATGCTGTTACAATAAATAACACTGACCTTGGCTGCTGGCTTTCCTCTGTGTACCTCTAGCATGAACCAGTTACCAGTGATTGAACTTATACTATTGACTGTAAAAATGAATATGGCTGTCTCTCTTAGCTCAGCACTCACATCTGGGGTAGAGATGTTTATGTGCCTTCATTCACATGAACTCTTATAGACAATTAAAGGGAATTTTAATTACAAATAACTAGAAAGAGTGATGTTAACTTTAAAATCTTCCAAGATCTTAAGTAACTTTGAGGTCTTCGATGATAGAGGAAGATTTGACGGTTCTTATACAAGGAAGGAGAAGGAATTAAACTTATTTATAGCTGTTTTACATCTTTTATTTTGCATAACATTTAAGGGTGGCCGTATTTTTTTCCTCTCTACAGTAGTGCTTTTACTAATAGGTGCGCAGTAGGATTCGTTTGGCTGACTTTAAAAAGTTGTTTTTGGAGATGCTGAACATCAAGTAAGATTCAGATTCATAAATGTAATGAGAAGTATGCAACCTTTTCTACTTGTAATGGGAAAAGTAACACATTATACAATTAAAGAAGTTATGTGCAAGTAGATGTGATAAAAGTCTGGCTAAGATCATGAAGGGTGTTGCCTTCTAGAGAGAGTCTGGTGTGGAAAAATCAATGTAAATTGTTCTACAAACAAAATTCAGCAGTGAGTGAAGCACATCTTTATTCTTTCTGTAGTGGCAGTGTGGGCTATTCTGAATCCCCACATAGCTGATGTTTACCCATAGTTGTTGTGATGTACTGGACTCAGGAATAGAAGAACTTACCAGAAGTGTCAGAGTTCTGTAAATGATGCTCTTAGCATTTGGTGAGATTTGCCTGTTGAACACTCGTTTGAGGAATCAATATAGAATTTTTCTGATAGAAAACTTAATTGAACAAAATGGTGATTCTGCATAGCGTCTTCTAGTTATGATGTAGACTTCTAATACCGAGAATGGCATTTCCTAAACAAGGACTGAGGGAGAATGAAGACATAATTGTGCAAATGTTAATAAACGTTAACTACCCAGAAAAGTAGTGAGAAAAAGTACCAAAATGTCTGCTGAAGAGGTTGTACATGTAAGTGCAGAGCTGAGAGCATGGTTTACCAGAGGCAAACAGTAAAAGATGAGCGTATTGAAGATAGTGGATTAGAAGAGGGATATCAGAAAGCATCTTTAAAGTGAAGAAATTGGTTTATTTAATTAGATGGGGACAGTGCTGGGTGGGGTACATACAGAGTAGGTAATGCAGCCAAAATATTATGGAGGGAAATTTTTTTTATTTACTTATTTTTGCTATAGTGTTGTCAATGAGCAAAAGCTTGCCAATAATGCATCAGCTTCAGGGGGAGGGACTAGAATAACTGGTTAAGATGAGAGCCTAAACAAAATCTTTGTTCAGTCTCAATACAATACTTTTGAGGTTTGACAGAATGGTGACCCAGAGAGAGGCCTAGATAATTGAATTTGTTATTTTTACTTGCATGACCAACAGATCAAAGAAGACTTCTGTTCAAATGTGAATTATTTATGTTATTACTGTTCTTATTTTAGGTAAAGAAGATGAATTTCCAAAGAAGCCGTTGGGGCAAATTCCATCAGGACCTCAGCCTGCTATGCTTAATTCCACTCCAATGCTTAATGGACAAAATAGCACTGGTACACAAACAATAAAAAGGACAGAGAGGAGACCATCTCCTGTAGAAGAACCAGAAAATTCACCAAATAACCGAAAAAGAATTAATTCTCTGGAAAAACAACCTTCCTTAAAACAGCAGAAGTCTCGCCCGATAGACACTCAGAGTAGTCAGTCTAAAAATGAGGTTGATGCCAGAAGAAAACCTCAGCCAACTGGGCAAGACAACTCAAAACAATATGATAATGCAGCTGCTAACCAAAATTCTAATGCTACTTCACATACAAGAAGGGAATTTGTACCTAAGTGGAATAAACCATCCGATATCAAAATAATTGAAAAGACTATGAAACTTACTGCAGAGGTGAAAGGAAGGCCAATAAATAATTCTGTTTCAAGCTCACCACCAAGTCCTACAGAAACACAGCCTTTGAATGTAAAACAAAAGATGAGGGTTTTGGATGCTGATGAAGGTAAGCGTGGGTCTAATGCATCACAGTATGACAACGTTCCAGAAGCTGATAATGAGAGTGAGAATCTTGTTGAAGAGATGCTTGAGAGAGTTCATCCACAGAGTCCTAGGCATGTAGCATTTACTAATAGTCCAAGAAAACAAACTGAAAAAATACCTGCTCCATTAAAAATGTCCAACAATTATACCTTTACTTCACAACCCAGATCTCCAAAATATTCATTGCAATCTGATGGACCACCTCATGGACTAAATGCAAAGCAGCTGCTGCCCTCTTATAGCAATCCTCCTACTTACCATGGAAATTCTCCAAAGCATATCTCCAGCATAAGCAATACAAGTTCTATACCTCTTCATTATCATGGGAATCGAACCAGCCCTTCTGGTAGGCCATATGGCTCTTTTATTTCAGCAGATTATTCTCCTGATAAATTACAAGTGAATTCCTATCCTGCGGGTCGCCAAAATCCTCTTTCATCAGCCCCTACTCGGATAGACGTAGCCCCTGTCGATGCTTACACCAGCAACTTGAGGTCCCCTACAGGTGTCAAATTCATAATGCCTCCAGTGGATTATTTACCAGAAGACAGAAAGTGGCCAGATGCTGCTTACATGTATAGACATGAACCGTACAGGCAGCCCTGGAACCAAGACGTTAACAGGGGCCACTTGGAGAATTTCCAGAAATACCAGCATTTTCAGTCAACACCTTTTCAAGACCATAGTCTTCCTGCTGTTTCTGTGGATAGCCCAATAAGATACAGGACTTCACCAACCTCTGAAGAGCATGGTTCACCACAATACCAATATTCAAATCCATCAGCTCAAGTCCAGCACTACCGAAATAGAAATGATGGATTATCTATGCATGAATCTGTGCTTCTCTGAAAATGTCTGTTCTTATTAAAATGGCAAGATCCAAACCCAGTTATACATTACTGTGTTAGTAGTAGTCCACCTCATTTCTTCTATGAAATGTGGACAGTTATGTGACTCTGCAAAAATAACAACACTATTTCAGAGCTGTTTCAGACTTTTCACTGAAGGCTAGGTGAGTTCTTAGACTTGCATTGAAGCTATTGAAAGTGATCTGATGCACATAGACATAGCAATAGCAATAAGATCATATACACAGTATGGCTAATACTGTCATTTTTCCTCAAATTGAAATAACTTGTGTTATGATCTTTCTGCCTAAAACCTAACACATTTGCAAGTTTTATTTTGACTGACATTGTTAATGCACTGTATTAAGTATGTGTGTGCGTGAGTGTGCGCTTACATACACAAATGCATCTGGAAAAGAACTAAAGAGCTTAAATGTAAATGCATTTAACTTTGGACAGAGGTTGTGAAGTACTTTTGTTTCGTATTAATTTTTCTTTATAATTTATTTGAGAAGCCATTCATTTTGAATGGGAATTTCTGTCATTTTTATACAGCTGCCTCAGTATCCCAGTATCTGTTCTGGGCAGGAGAGATACTTTGGGATTATTAATTTAAATTTATGTGAGAGTTAATTTCCTCTCCTTTGACTACTGTTTGTCATTTTCCTCAGCAAGAAGGAGCAGACAGGCAAGAGCAGAAAGCCAAAAACATCTCTATAATCTGGCTAAGGAATGGTGCTTAAAATTCAGGGCAGTCTCTAGTTTCTTAGGTGAATTGAAAGTGGATAATTTTTACCTTTGCACCTAAATCTACCTTCAGAATGTCATATATGCAAAATATTGGAGCACAGTAAGAGTAATGCCACATCCAGAAATGGTGCTGCACCCTTTACTTTTTGCCATGCTGTGCTGTCAAACTAAACAAATTGGTTGCAAGGCCAAATCTCATAGGTATCAGAGAATTACTGGCTCCTTGGCGCTCTCAAGAAGCACATGCAGGAGTTTGAGACTTGGTTGTGACTTGATATCCCCTGGGCTGTGAGCATATGCAGTGTCCTTTCTCTTAAGCTTTGTCATGTCAATTTTATTTTGTTTCTCCCCCCCCCCAAAGAGCCAGAAGACTCATGTCTGTGATTGGGCATGGGCTGCTGAGAAAATGTGTTTTTTGTTTTTCTTTAAACTCTAAAATCAACCTGACTGTTAATAGGAAGCTTAGACTGCTGGTAAAACATGTTTTTAATGGGTGTTTGCAGCCTCTTCTGCTTTGTGTTTTCCTTTCATTGACTGTGAAATGGGGGTGACAAAAATGCAGGTTAAAGTGGCCCGTGTAGGATGAGCGCCTGGTAGGAAGTGCTGGATGCACCGAGCTCTCATTGAAGCCAATGGGAGTTGAGGCAGATAAGGATCTTGCCAGAAGAGGTCCTTGGAGTGCTTAGCAGAGAGATTTTCTGACGCTTAAGGACCAAGCATTGGTATCACCATCAGTTTTGGATGGTTTAGAAGGTTGTCCTATTATCTTTTGTTTTGTAAGATTTGTTAATTAAAGACATAGAAGTGGATTATTTTTTTTTTTTTTCCTTTAAAGAATGAGCTTTAGTGCCTATTATTGCTGCAGGTTGGCTCTGTAAGTTTTAAGGTACAGAAGTAAAACAATTTTTACAAATGGAAGTAACATTTACTTAGTATATTTCAAAAACTTTTTGTGTATATGATGTGTCTGATGTAATTTTTAATGAACTGGGCAATTTTATATTTTAAGGATTGCAAACTGCAGCGAAGAAATGGTAGCAAAGCACTACACTGAAACTCTAAAATTGTGAAGATAAATATGACTTGGGATTACCTTAGTTCTGATTGCTTACAGCAGCTTAGAAATGTATGTATATAATATTGTGGCTAAGTGTAATAATCTCAGTGTTTAACGATGGTTCTGTAATTCATAACAAAGCTGTACAATTTATTTGTGCAAGCAACACAAAGCTCCAAAATATGTATCAGCAGTAGTAAATACTGTAGATTTTTATATATGAAATATATACACACTATTTTCTTATGTCATCTGCAACAGTTTTATAACTGTGTATCCTATTTTGATGTGACTGTATTTTTAACATGTTAAAATAATAATAATTAAGCTTCTATTGTTTTGTCTTTATTTTTTCTCATTGTCTGATTAGCTCAAAACTGCAGTTTTGCTCTTCTCAGCACAAATGATTGCTTTTCACAAATGAGTCGTGTGTATATATATATTGGGTGCATTTTATTTGTTTGTACACGTTTATTTTTAGGCTAAGCAATATGGATGCAATCTATACAGTGCTTTCGTATTATTGCAGAAGTAATAAGGTTATTGATTATAGTTTACTACCCTGCTAAACCTTAACCTATCATTTGTGAAAGCTAGGAGTATAAACTGTGATCATAATTTTCTGGCTGTGTTCTAATAATCTCACCCAATATCAATTCAAAAGAAGAGAATTACTGGGATGAGAGACTTGCGATGTTGCATTGATCAGAGTGCCAAATAATAGCCTGGCTATGGCTGTGGTGTTTGCTGCATGTTTAGAGACCTGTATTCAGCTTACAAAAGCCTGGTGTCACACGTTTGTAGTGCAAAGTCTGCTTTTGTTTCGTTTAGCTGGACTAACCAAACTGAAGGTACTGATGCCAGTAACAAACACCCTTGGTGCAGAGTGAAGCAAGGCAGTGCTGTGCCAGTATCTTGCTGTGTCTTGCTGGTGGAGGGAATCATTCCCTCATAATGGATTAGATATCCTCCTAAGAGCTTTTCAGTCACTGTTTGCTTTGATCTGAAAACAGTCAAGCAGTAAGTATCAGCATAAAATACTTGAGACCTTTCTTTCCCATGGTTTCTTTATAATAATTTTCTAAAATTTGCCTGCCACGTGCCATGTAAACTGTAGGTTTCTTGTCTGGCTCTCTTTGTGGTTAGTGAGACAGTTTCAAGGCAGGGGCTTGGAGAACGAGTAAACTCTCTCCACACAGGGATGCAGAAGACTAAATAAGGCTGGGTGCCTAACTTCTGCAAGGCCAAAAATAAGCAAAATTAAGCTAATTAGAATATAAGAGCAAAAGGAAATGAGTTGTATGTTGTGAACTTCTGTGTTTGCTTTTCCTGTGACTGATACCACACTAGAATAAAAATACAAATTGTTCAGTGCAGAACTGTACAGCAGAAGACTGAAATCCTTCGAGTTACTGGGGCCTTGGGAAGAAGTTAGGAAAGACTGCAGTCTCATTGACACTCCTAAGCTTTTCCATGAATGGGATTTGATTATGTGATCAAACTGCTTCTCTGTCTAATCAAACCATGTACATTGTATAAGTGAAGACAGAAGCCTTCCTACTCCTGCTGTGACCCCAGGGAAGATTCTTTCCTGATGTCGGTTTGGGTGATGAATTTGAATCATCGTCGCTTGGGCATCTCAGGAAGAAAATATGACTTCAGGAAAATGATCTTAATCTTTTCCTCTCCCCAGATCCAGCTGTGGCCTGCCTGTAATGCTTCAGGGAAGGTGACACAGAGGAAACAAAAAACCCCTTTCGCCAGAAGTCTATTAAAGAGAGTATTTCCTCCTAATCCCTGCTGATGACTACCGAAAGCCTCAAAGCATGATATTCTTTGCAATTATTTGAGAATGATCAGATCAATGCAGTCAATTCTTTTTTTTTTTTTTTACCCAGGGCCATAAAGGAAGGTCTTTCACAGATGTAAATATCAGTTACCTCCATAACACCTGACAGCAGGATTAATCCCTAACTGTAAAGCAACTGCTATATCCTCATTACGAATAGAAATTTTAATAGTAAGGGATTTTAGAAACCTTAGAGGTTGCAGAAGAGCAACCATTTTGTTTTATTGTTAGGCAAAGATACACCTTTGTAATAAACCAGTTGCTTGTTCCAAAATTAGATGCATAGTGTAAACAACACTGAAATGTCAAAAGACAGAGCAGCCTTCCAGTGTGAAGAAGCAAATCCAAAGATTCCCTGAGGTACATACACATCTTCCTAGGAGATTTCTCTCAAGAATCCTATCCTGAATTTCACATCATACTCGATATGACTTTGAAATGGACTTGCAAATTACAGACTTTTTTTTAATCTCCCCCTTGGGTGGCATTACATTGCATTCACAAAGAGGAATACTTTTTAAAATATGCCATCAAACGCCCACCATTCCATCTCCAGTGGAGTACATTCTGCTTTCAGTATTTCAGTGAGAGGAAAATGTGAATTTTTTTTTGTAGCCCTTGAAATACTGCATTTTTGCAAAGCTCTGTAAATGCATCATAGTTACAGTTCAGCGGTTGCTTGACTAAGTAGAGTTAGGCTCTGTTTAGATGATATGAAGTTTCTGCATATTTAGTTTGCTGAAGGTCTTTTGTGGGGATATTAAGACACTCCAAATGCTTTGAATGGCCCAGTTGCAATGAGAAGAGGACTAAGCCAGCAAATGAAATTGGGAATATAATTGTGATTATCTGTGTAGTCTTTAAATGGTTTCCAAATCTGGTGAGGTAGGGAAAAATGCCATTTTTGGGCTGCTTTGTGCCAAGAGGACTTTATGCCATGGCAGGGAACACAGTGATCCCTCTCCTGAGTGATTTCATTTTCTCAACCTACGCCGACTGCCTTTGTGCTCATGGAGTTAATAGAAAATCAGTGGTGCTTTTAGAAATGTGCATTTTGAATAGCCTGAGAACGAACATAACTTGTTCTAGATTTTTTTCCTTTTTTTTTTTTTTTTTTTTTTTTGAGGGAGTGGAGTATGTTTATTTCAGTGTAGATTTTATTGTCAATCTTGTCAAGGTGATTCTTCTGTCTGCTTCCTTCCTCTGATAATGTGCCAACACTTGTTTTTCAGAAGTGTTGCGATACCTTTTTTTGCTGTTTGTTGGGAACATGATGAAGCAGAGATTGCTGTTCTCTTGCCTCTCTCTAGACAATGTGCAAATTAAAACAAACAAACAAACAAAAAAACCCACATCATTTGCATTCTCAATATTGTAGTTGGTCAGAAAATCTTCAGGAATTCTTTTCTTACAGAAAGGAATTTAATTTAGCAGTAGGTGAAGGACACAATAGTGTAGAGGTGCTTGTATAGTCTCTGCAATCTGAAGTTGTAGTTTTCTTTTGCTCAGCATTGAGCACCAGAAGCTGTATTACTGTTAGGATCAATCAAGTGTTTTTGCAAAATGCTGTATCGTGCCACAAAAGTGTGCCAGCTCAGAGTGGCAGTAGGTCAGATGTAGCTACAACAGGCTTGAATTCCTAGTGATACGTTGTTTTGTCAGATTTTTCTATTTGAAATGAGTCAGAGAATTGGAGCTGGTACTTTATGCCAGGATATCCGAGTTCCCTTTCTTGCTTAGGAAGGCTGGAAGTAAAACGTTCTCATTCACACCATCCGGACTTAAGGCTTTGCGTTTTTCAGTTCAGCAGTGTCTTCTGGAATCATCTGCAGTATCGTCCCTTAGGAAAAAACAGATCTCTGTAGTTTTTGATAATGGAGAAAAAAGCTCTAAAAGCTCTTCTAGATGATTTAGTCCAACCCATGCTGTTTTTTTTTTTTTTTTTTTAGCCTTTCTGTTCCCATACATTTCCCCCAGTGATAACTCTGACAGCGTGGGCTGTGTATCCCTGAGTGTGATGCTGAAGTCAATAAGTGATGTGCAGTACCAGCATGAGGCAGGTCATGTAGCATTTCTAGGCAAGTTGGCACCCAACTGTGAGAACTGAGATTTTGCAATATGGTTAAGTGGAAGCTTTACTTGCTGAAAAGTGTACTTGAATTCATCAGCAATGTGTGGGTTCTATGTTAAAAAACACAAAGCTTTCAAGCGAAAAGGTTGGATTCCTGAAGGTGGTGGTACTTAGCTGCCTTTGTGTTTGAGAATGGAGGTGGAAGTTCTGTGTAATGCGTTTCTTCCTCTGAAAGCTAAGGAACACTGGAGAATCCAGTGAGAATCTCAGTCCTCCTGAGTTAAGTCAGTTATGCAGTCACTCATTTTCAAACTACTGGACACATGCTTGGTATGAGTTACCCAAAACAAACTGGCTATCTTTCTTAAAAGTGATTTTAAAACAGTCCATTGATTTCAGTCTTCCTTAGAGGCAACACAGTAGTCAACTTTCAAAGAACGTGGCTGTGTTGAGAATCTTCATTTGACATCAGTTAATATTCTGGCCATCAGACATCCTTCATTTATTCATGCTGTGTCTGTAACTCCTGATATTTCACTTCCAGTAGAGGTGTCCACCTGTTTGATTACTTCAGTGAATGACTTTTCTTTCTGATGCCATCTTGTCATGGACTACCTGCTCTGTATCAACTCATAGCATTCTCAAATCCATCTCCAAAGTCTGTTCTTTGTAGTGCTGTCACTTTCCTTCAAATGAATCACAAAAGGAAATAAAGAAGAATAGAGAAAATGTTGAGACTATAAAACAGATAATTAGCAATATGAGTATCATAAGCCAATTATAAATGCTTTCAGAAGGCCTGACTGGTGGTTGTGTTGTGCTTTCTGTCTCTGCAGTAACTACATCATGAAAAGTGACATCTGCTGAATCTGAAGGACTGGGATGTTAAGTGGCTTGCTACATTTTTCCTTAGGCGATACCATGTGCGAGTGGGAAGTTATGCCCCTGATTTGAGAGCTCTCTGCTGGCCAGCACATAGGAACCAGTCAACCTTTGTTGGCTGGCTGGACTCAGTGCTCTCCATAAATATTTAATCATACATAGCTACTAAAGAAAAGGGAAACAGTCTCTCAATCACAAAATTAGTATGCTCACAGCTATAGAAAGTCATTTGTAGCTGCTGGAGTTCACCCATTGTTCAAAGCTATACTTCAACCTTTTTGATGCTGTAAATCATAATTTTGCTCTGTAACATGTAAAAATGTAGCATTAACCTCAGGTGTTCTCTTTCCAGTGCAGTTATGCAGCACGGCTGGCAGCATACATTCTGCCTCTGGCAGTAGTTTTACTGATGTGCTCAATTTCTGTTGAGCACGCCTGGTCTTA